TTTATATACTCTTAATTAATGTAAAATTCAGGTGACTAATAAAAATTAAACTCCAGCTAAATCCAGTTAAATCCAGTTAAAGCTGTTGCGATTTTACCATACTTTTGATTTCGAAAACGTTTGTGTAAAAATAAAATTATCCGATTAAAAGTCACGCTCTTGTGTATTTACCCCCGATAACTTCAGTTTGATAAAAAGCCACGTAACTAAATACGATAAATTTTATCGTATGGTTTAAAATTTATAATACTGTAACAAAAATATATAATTCTATAAGGTTTAAAACATACATATACAGGTGTCTCACGTGAATGGTTTGTTAGAACTTTTGTAGATTCCACTATTGGTACAGTTTTGAAATTTTGGTAGTAGGGGTTAATCATCCTAAGCTTTCGATATAAAATATTTTCAAGATAGCCGCCACTTCCGGTCTACCGGAAGTAGACCACAACTTCGCTATTTTAAATGAAATACTGTAGTTTTTACTACACCTTCTAATTATATGCGAAAAATATGTTGACTTTGATAAAAGTTATTTGTACCTAGTGTATTTCGTATTCGGGTTATTTTGGTTTGAAATTCTTTTTGGCAAATTTCACCACGCTGTTTAGAAACCCATTATTCAGCCAACGTTCATTCAAAAATGCTCTAAATTGGCACGACTGTTCTGCAGACGCTATTCAATAGATTGCCATTTGTTGTATCTTATATAGAATAGTCAAAAATTGAATTACCATTTTTCCACATTCAATGGCAAGAAAATAGAAAACTGTAAATGGAGTGCCCCATATTTTATTAGCCTATCAGATAGGGAATTTAATTCTCTACAAATCATCTATAAACATTCCTACACCTATTTGTTGTCCTCATTGTTTTCCTCATATTGGGAAATTTATTAAAACATGCACGAAATGTCGGAATCTGAATGAAAATAATACCGTAACAAAAATAAGTCGAATACAACTTACCGTCAGATTCGGGTTACATGTGATTGCGCTAATCAATATGCCTAACAAAATTATAGCCTTCATTTTTAGTCGATTGATTGGTTGGTTGGTTCACTAATGGCACTCACTGGTGGTGTGAGAGATTATGTGAATTCTTCTTGAAATCCAAACTCTTTTAAAGGGATTCGTCGTGTTAAAGGTTATCATTGAACTATGTAAAAAAATTTAAAAAACCATCGACAGCGAAAAACAGAATATTAATAGAAATATAATATACACTCAGCGGCATAAAAAACGCATCACCTAAAATGATGACCAGTTTCAAACCTCAATAACTTTTGGACGTATTGCTCGATTTGAATAAGGTTTTTTTTTATTTGAAAGGTCTACCCTTTGCCAATATTTCTATAAGCGCCTTCCCCATTTTGGCGCTTTTCAATTTCAGCAATGGTGAATAACACTAAAGCGTGTTTTCTTTCATACACTTTGAAGCTTGCTGTGGGGTGCACCGACAAAAGAAAATAATTTTAATCATAAGGAGCTTGTAATCTTGTCTGTTCTGATCACTTCTGTTTTTTGTTCAAGTTTCTATTGTTGTTAACACCAAAGTTAAAAAGATAACGCAGCTTTTTCGGCAGCGCCATCAGAAATTAAAGCAAGTCTGGATGTCGATGAAATTTAATTTTATTAAACTGTGACAAGTAAATTAAACAAAATAACGGCACCGCGGGCTCTAACTCGTTTTCCTAGCATATCCCACATGTGTTCTATGGGCTTTAACTCAGGGCTACGTGCAGGCCATTCCATTCTGCTGATATCCAAATTATCCAGGTATTGGGACACTATGCGGGCTGTATTGAAGCGTGCATTATCGTGCATGAACAAGAAGTTGTCACCAATAAATGGGCCGAAAGGAAACACGTGTTCAGCCAAAATTTCTTCAATATACCGATCCGTGTTTAGATTGTCGTTTATAAAGCAAAGCCACGTGCTTCGAAGCACATTCCCCCCCAAATCATTACACATCCTCCCTGGTATTGTACTCTTTCAGAGAAGTTGCACTGAGCATAACGCTCTCCTGCTCTTCTCCAAACTCTCTCTCGACCATCTGGAGTGTACAAGCCGAACCTCGACTCGTCTGGTCCACTGAACATGATCTCGTGCAAATTGTAAACGAGCAACACGATATTCTCGAAGCAACTGTGGTCCAGTTGCTGGTCTCTGTGATCTTAACCCCGCTTCTTCAAATCTCCTTCTTACTGTGCGCTCACACACGTTCACCCGACGCACTTGCTCCAAACGATTTCTTATCTCAACTGCTGTGGTATGTCGATTTCGTAACACGGTCGTTATAATATATCGATCATTACGGGGTTGTGTGGTGCGTCTTCTTCCTGACCCAGGTTGACTGATGAAGGTGCCAGTCTGCCGAAATGACACGAGCAACATAACGAGTGCTACGTTCATCTTCCACCAAAGCCACTGCCTGAGCAACTTCTGCAAGACTTAAAGGCATTTTTTTGTTAAGCAACAGTGTACGACGTTAACGACACTAAACGTCACTGAAACGTTTTCGTAAATTTCTTTAATTTCTGATGGCNCAGAGACGCAAACCAAATGAAAATTATACAAAAAATATAAAAAAAAAAATATATATATATATATGTATATAAGTAACAATTGACGAGTGAAATTCGATTAAATTCCGATTAAATTTAATGTAAAATTAGACTAATCTTAATATATGCCCAATTTTTTCTCACCTTCACCATCCAGCTTAATCTTTTCGCTCTTATCATTCTCAATTTTAATTTTATCAATTTCCCCTTTCAATGGATTCATTTCGATGTCTTTGTTGTTAATTTCCGAGTGCAACTCCATTTTGTCACTTTCTTGTATTTCTGAATTTACATCAACTTTTTGCTTTTGTATTTTCATCTGCGTTCTTGCTTCGTATACTATTTCTTGTTCTGCTACAGCTTGGTTATTGAAATCTTCATTATCTAAATCGACTTCTAAATATTCAATTTCTTTAGTTTTCTCTTCTTCAATCTGACTGATTGTCAAAGTATTGTATTTCACGGATATTAGGTTTATCTAAAACACTTCTTCCATTTTATATTAGGGGCTAGACTTTCGGGCGTTCATACGTGCATAAACAACGAGCCGAACACGGTGTCATTCCGAGGGCTGTACAAGGTTAACGGGCATTTTGTGATTTCTATAGAAGAAACTATGACGAATCGAATGACGTATAGATCTTGATCATCGTGCACATCATTAACGAGTTATCACCACTTAAAAAAGGTCATTTTTCTGTTATTTTCGTGCACCTTCGCATTATTTCGGCGTTTTAGAGGAATTCGAAAGAAATTTCGAATCGGGCATTTCCACTTTCGTATTGGCCAAGGATTAAAATCGGTTGACTGGTTCTTTTGTTATAATGAAAATACTATACATGTAAAATCCTATTTAATTGGGGACTAGAAAAATTGGGGGCTAACTTCGCATAGGTCTGGCGAAGATACTTGTAAGTTTTCTTCCCAAAACTTATTATGATTATGGAGAAAACCACTAAAGATTGAGCTGGAGTAAAGACTGACTGAAGTCAGACGAAGAATAAAGTACTGCTTTCTTTGACTCAATATGGGTTGGAAACGATATACGAAAAAAGGTGGGATAGGGACGTGGTTTCAAACGAGTGTTATTGAGGAAAAAGATAAAGTTGAACATGAGTAAAAAAGTGATACGTAACCATACCAAAACCCTCATTAACTCGGAGTACGATAACAACATCAAGTCAACTCAATCTCAGCTGATAGAGTGCCCGAATCGCTTGTGCTTCTTCATTAAACACCGGAAGGGCGGATGCGCCGGTATTCCAGCTACGATGATGTTCCGTGGTGTTCATGCCGACAATACTCATGTCCTTTATTCGCCCTGTACTTTAATTCCGTTTTCATTGACGGTAACCTCTCCGATCCTTATCGTGTTATACCGATTGGGGGTTTTGCGGCCTGGTTTGTGGAGGAGGATGTTTTGCGTGCCCTTAATGAAATAGATGGGCTGTTATCCTTATCCTTACGCTCCGGTGCATTCCCCAGTGAATGGCGGAGAGCANCCTTCTTACTGTGCGCTCACACACGTTCACCCGACGCACTTGCTCCAAACGATTTCTTATCTCAACTGCTGTGGTATGTCGATTTCGTAACACGGTCGTTATAATATATCGATCATTACGGGGTTGTGTGGTTCGTCTTCTTCCTGACCCAGGTTGACTGATGAAGGTGCCAGTCTGCCGAAATGACACGAGCAACATAACGAGTGCTACGTTCATCTTCCACCAAAGCCACTGCCTGAGCAACTTCTGCAAGACTTAAAGGCATTTTTTTGTTAAGCAACAGTGTACGACGTTAACGACACTAAACGTCACTGAAACGTTTTCGTAAATTTCTTTAATTTCTGATGGCGTTGCCGAACAAGCTGCGTTATTTTTTTGAGCTTGTAACTTGGGTGTTAACAACAATAAAAACTTGAACAAAAAACAGAAGTGATCAGAACAGACGAGATTACAAGTCCCTTATGATTAAAATTATATTCTTTGGTCGGTTCACCCCACAACAAGCTTCAAAGTGTAGGAAGAAAACACGCATTAGCGTTATTCGCCATTGCTGAAATTAAAGAGACCAAAATGGGGAAGGCGCCTACAGAAATATTGGCAAAGGGTAGACCCTCCAAATAAAAAAAAACTTATTCAAATCGAGGAATACGTTCAAATGTTATTACAGTTGGAAACTGGTCATGATTTTAGGTGATGCGTTTTTTATGCCGCTGAGTGTATATAATATTAATATACAACAGAATTCAAATTGGAAAGAGAGTTTACCGCCTGTCTGACCTTTTGTTTAATTATGTGTGAATTTCTAGGAACAGTTATGAGGATATCTGTTTTTTGGGGTCAATTGCAAAGATTTGGGGTCACACAACAAAAATTAAATTGCAAAGTTTCGGACTTACTAATTTCTTTTTTGCCATATTAGATACCACCTTGTTCTATCAGTCAACGATTTACATTACTAAAATAAAATAATGACATATTTAGAATTATTCACAATATTAATGAATTCAGACATTATTCAAAAGAAGATATTTTGAAAGAGGGAATAATCTTTAAAGTGATTTTTCGGTAAGTACTGCACTTTTGCGCACTTTTTTTATCATTAACGCATCTTTTGAGTCATTTCCTACCGATTAAAAAAAAACATCGATCTTTAAGAGGGACTACTAAACTTAATATATGCCCAATTTCTTCTCACCTTCACCATCCAGCTTAATCTTTTCGCTCTTATCATTCTCAATTTTAATTTTATCAATTTCCCCTTTCAATTGATTCATTTCGATGTCTTTGTTGTTATTTTCCGAGTGCAACTCCATTTTGTCACTTTCTTGTATTTCTGAATTTACATCAACTTTTTGCTTTTGTATTTTCATCTGCGTTCTTGCTTCATCTACTATTCTTGTTCTGCTACAGCTTGGTTACAACTTTTATTGAAATCTTCATTATCTAAATCGACTTCTAAATATTCAATTTTTTTAGTTTTCTCTTCTTCAATCTGACTGATTGTCAAAGTATTGTATTTCACGGATATTAGGTTTATCTAAAACACTTCTTCCAATTATTATTGGTTCATTCTGGGTCGAATCAGGTACAACAAATACATACTTCAGATGTCACCTCTATTCCATCTATTACTATTTCAGAATTGGATTCTCCTATTGGTCGACATTTCCCTCCCCCAAATCCTGTCAGTTTTACAATAAAGAGTTTATAATGTAATTTTAATTCATCTGCTTCCTGTTGGCATGTTGTAACAACATCACCTATGCGAAGTTAGCCCCCAATTAGATAGGATTTTACATGTATAGTATTTTGATTATAACAAGAGAACCAGTCAACCGATTTCGATAAACACTGTCTCATTCGATTTGTATTTTAATCAAAATCCTTAAATACTTCGAATCGGGCATTCCGACAACCGCATTCAGCCAGCGAAAGCTATCGATTGAGATATAAAACATTAAAATCCGTCAATTCGATTTAGTTTAAATTAATTTTTTTATATTAGGGGCTAGACTTTCGGGCGTTCATACGTGCATAAACAACGAGCCGAACACGGTGTCATTCCGAGGGCTATACAAGGTTAACGGGCATTTTGTGATTTCTATAGAAGAAACTATGACGAATCGAATGACGTATAGATCTTGATCATCGTGCACATCATTTACGAGTTATCACCACTTAAAAAAGGGCATTTTTCTGTTATTTTCGTGCACCTTCGCATTATTTTGGCGTTTTAGAGGAATTCGAAAGAGATTTCGAATCGGGCATTTCCACTTTCGTATTGGCCAAGGATTGAAATCGGTTGACTGGTTCTTTTGTTATAATCAAAATACTATACATGTAAAATCCTATCTAATTGGGGACTAGAAAAATTGGGGGCTAACTTCGCATAGGTGTGGCGAAGATACTTGTCTCGTAAGTTTTTTTCCCAAAACTTATTATGATTATGGAGAAAACCACTAAAGATTCAGCTGGAGTAAAGACTAACTGAAGTCAGACGAAGAATAAAGTACTGCTTTCTTTGACTCAATATGGGTTGGAAACGATATACGAAAAAAGGTGGGATAGGGACGTGGTTTCAAACGAGTGTTATTGAGGAAAGTGATAAAGTTGAACATGAGTAAAACGTAACCATACCAAAACCCTCATTAACTCGGATTACGATAACAACGTGCTTCTTCATTAAACACCGGAAGGGCGGATGCGCCGGTATTCCAACTACGATGATGTTCCGTGATGTTCATGCCGACAATACTCATGTCCTTTATTCGCCCTGTACTTTAATTCCGTTTTCATTGACGGTAACCTCTCCGATCCTTATCGTGTTATACCGATTGGGGGTTTTGCGGCCTGGTTTGTGGAGGAGGATGTTTTGCGTGCCCTTAATGAAATAGATGGGCTGTTATCCTTATCCTTACGCTCCGGTGCATTCCCCAGTGAATGGCGGAGAGCATTTGTATTTCCTGTATTCAAATCTGGTGACCGTTGCGACGTATCCCAGTATCGCCCTAACACATATTTTTCTTTACTTTCAAAAATTTTTGAGAAAATAATTTACCCTAAATTATTATATGTATATTTTGAAGCCCTTTATGATCGTTGAGCAAAATGGCTTTCTGTCTGGTACATTGGTCGAGACCAACTTAACTTCATATATATCGATTTTAGTAAGGCCTTCGATAAAATCGATTACAACATCTTAATAAGAAAGTTATCACTGCTTGACATTCCTCCGGGTCTTTTAGCGTGGTTGGGTTCCTACGTCACACAGTGGTCAATTTCTCAAATTTAGGATTACAAAATATAAAAATTGGTCATATTTTTGTGGTATAATCATGCGGTATTTGGCTTATTGTATGACTGGCATATAATATAAGAATTTTTTTTTGATGAGAATGGTTTCATTACCACTATCCGGATGTTTAATTAAGAATTTTTCGGGTCTTTAATTTTGTTAAGATTGTTGTATTGTTGATTATATTGTACGGTTGTATGCAATGTNTTTTGAAAGAGGGAATAATCTTTAAAGTGATTTTTCGGTAAGTACTGCACTTTTGCGCACTTTTTTTATCATTAACGCATCTTTTGAGTCATTTCCTACCGATTAAAAAAAAACATCGATCTTTAAGAGGGACTACTAAACTTAATATATGCCCAATTTCTTCTCACCTTCACCATCCAGCTTAATCTTTTCGCTCTTATCATTCTCAATTTTAATTTTATCAATTTCCCCTTTCAATTGATTCATTTCGATGTCTTTGTTGTTATTTTCCGAGTGCAACTCCATTTTGTCACTTTCTTGTATTTCTGAATTTACATCAACTTTTTGCTTTTGTATTTTCATCTGCGTTCTTGCTTCATCTACTATTCTTGTTCTGCTACAGCTTGGTTACAACTTTTATTGAAATCTTCATTATCTAAATCGACTTCTAAATATTCAATTTTTTTAGTTTTCTCTTCTTCAATCTGACTGATTGTCAAAGTATTGTATTTCACGGATATTAGGTTTATCTAAAACACTTCTTCCAATTATTATTGGTTCATTCTGGGTCGAATCAGGTACAACAAATACATACTTCAGATGTCACCTCTATTCCATCTATTACTATTTCAGAATTGGATTCTCCTATTGGTCGACATTTCCCTCCCCCAAATCCTGTCAGTTTTACAATAAAGAGTTTATAATGTAATTTTAATTCATCTGCTTCCTGTTGGCATGTTGTAACAACATCACCTATGCGAAGTTAGCCCCCAATTAGATAGGATTTTACATGTATAGTATTTTGATTATAACAAGAGAACCAGTCAACCGATTTCGATAAACACTGTCTCATTCGATTTGTATTTTAATCAAAATCCTTAAATACTTCGAATCGGGCATTCCGACAACCGCATTCAGCCAGCGAAAGCTATCGATTGAGATATAAAACATTAAAATCCGTCAATTCGATTTAGTTTAAATTAATTTTTTTATATTAGGGGCTAGACTTTCGGGCGTTCATACGTGCATAAACAACGAGCCGAACACGGTGTCATTCCGAGGGCTATACAAGGTTAACGGGCATTTTGTGATTTCTATAGAAGAAACTATGACGAATCGAATGACGTATAGATCTTGATCATCGTGCACATCATTTACGAGTTATCACCACTTAAAAAAGGGCATTTTTCTGTTATTTTCGTGCACCTTCGCATTATTTTGGCGTTTTAGAGGAATTCGAAAGAGATTTCGAATCGGGCATTTCCACTTTCGTATTGGCCAAGGATTGAAATCGGTTGACTGGTTCTTTTGTTATAATCAAAATACTATACATGTAAAATCCTATCTAATTGGGGACTAGAAAAATTGGGGGCTAACTTCGCATAGGTGTGGCGAAGATACTTGTCTCGTAAGTTTTTTTCCCAAAACTTATTATGATTATGGAGAAAACCACTAAAGATTCAGCTGGAGTAAAGACTAACTGAAGTCAGACGAAGAATAAAGTACTGCTTTCTTTGACTCAATATGGGTTGGAAACGATATACGAAAAAAGGTGGGATAGGGACGTGGTTTCAAACGAGTGTTATTGAGGAAAGTGATAAAGTTGAACNATTTCAACAAATAATTAATTAAAGCGGTATTTTTTTAATGTAACCAATAGAAAACATTATTAGATCACTGGCAAACAAATAAAAAACATCATACATGCAAAAACGGCTGAATAGTACTACCCTGTTTAGGCGAATTTCTAAACATAAAAATTACGCCGGCAGTTAGCGCGAAATTAAACAACAAAAACTCAAGAACGGGTATGGTCGTGGACTTTTTATGTACTAGGGGGTGGAGAGGAGACTGGTGGCTATTTATGGATATATTTATATTTTTTTAGATATTCCTTGTATCCTTATTTTTTACATTTTTTTACAAAAACGGTCAAACACTGACCAACGGTCAATTACTGGCGTTTTACCCTACATGCAGCAATTCATTGTATTATATTCATTATATTTATTGTACTGAATACAATCTCGTCTCGCTGTCACTTTTCGTAGTAAAGTATTATAACTTATAGTATATTTTTAGTGCATAGTACAATCCATTTCTCTCAGTGTATACTGAGTTTATATAGTGATAGTCCGTACCTTTAACTGTATTTATAATACAGTTAGTATATATAACTATAATATAACTTCTTAAATTTTAAAAATTAACATCACATATTCACATTTCTATTTGATTTTTCTTGCACGGTTCATAATGAATCATTACAATACTTTTTTTATTTTGTAACCTGAAGGCTTAGCTATGAGATGGTATATAAGACTTTACTTACTTCCATTGACTTTAAAAAATATTGACTATCAAAGGAGGAATGTGACAAAAATGAGGTAACAAAGTGGCGTAAATTCAGGATTAAATCTCAATATTTTCACGCTTCGAAAGAAAAGCAGAAGTGATATGATTATGACACCTTCATATCTCAAGTAAAGTGGATTCATATTCCCATTGTTAAACGCTAACGAAATGAAATAAAGAGTGTCACAAGCGCGGATACAAACTTTAAATAAAAATTTCAATAGAATTTATGCGCGATATTAAATTTCCGCCCCCTAATTTATATTTTTTTAAAATATAATTAAATTTGTATACTAAAAAGGCTATTTCATTTATCGTAATAAACGGTTGGTTAAGTCGGTTGAAAAGCTATACTAACCCACCCTCCCACATTCTACAGTTTATATTACAATTTAATTGTAACAAAAACATATACTTAGACATGAATCCATAAAAATTCATGAAATACTGCAATTTAATGGACTAGAACGTTTTTCTTGCAATCAATTACAAAACAGGTTTGTATATGAACCCCCTAAATAAACATACTTGACCACATCCGGTTACGCAATTTGATATTTAATATTTACATATTTTCATGACTACAAAGAAATTATTAATTAATTTCATGCATCTATCCTATTATTCTGTAAAATGCTAGTTTACATATACATATACATGTGTTCATAAAGTAACGGATATAAGCGATAAAATCATTATAAACGGTTTATGGAAAAATTCCTGAAACGGGTCTAAACATTTACATTTTTTGGACACACTGTATAAAAAATGAAGGTGGTCAGATAAAGGACAACTTTCGATTACGCGGTTCGAATGAAATGTTAGGGTATGAATGTTTCTCATAATTTTAATCACTTATGCAATATTTCATTTGTTTAACTCTCTTTAAACAGCAAGTTTATATAGAACAAGTTCAATATGGTTTCAAATAAAGTACCACTTCCGGTTGACGAATATGATCCAAACTTGATACAAATCTTAGATTTTGTTACTAACAACTACATAGGAAATTTCATTGCCGTAGCTTGCTGGGTTTTTGAGGTATGATTTTTGTACTCCTAAATTCATGAAATTGACCACTGTGCGTCAGTGACCGTTACCAGGCGATTCGAGTTGGCAATTGTGTGTCTACTTTTCAACGGGTCACTTCTGGGGTTCCCCAGGAAAGCCACCACGGTCCATCCTTTTCTTGGCACACAGTTTCGAACACTCTAAATTTCTGCTTTATGCTGACGATTGCAAATTTTTTTTTGGATTTATATTGGATAAATAAGTTTGGTGTATCGATAATCCACTCTACATTCTTGAAGTGCTTGCAAAACTGCCATCAACTCAATTTAAATTAAATTTTATAAATACCTCTAAATACCCATCTTGGGTAAATACTCCCAGGTATATATCCAGGGAATTTTCCCTTAAAAATAAANACGGTAACCTCTCCGATCCTTTGCGTATTATGCCGATTGGGGATTTTGCGCCCTGGTTTGTGGAGGAGGATGTTTTGCGTGCCCTTAATGAAATAGGTGGGCTGTTATCCTTATCCTTACGCTCCGGTGCACTTCCCAGTGAATGGCGGAGAGCATTTGCATTTCCTGTATTCAAATCTGGTGAACGTTGCGACGTATCCCAGTATCGCCCTATTACATATTTGTCTACTTTCAAAAATTTTTGAGAAAATAATTTACCCTAAATTATTATATACAGTAAAATGGCTTTCTGTCTGGTACATTGGTTGAGACCAACTTAACTTCAATTCTATTCATCGTGTTTTCGACCGATTTTGCCAGGTGGGCGCTATTTATATCGATTTTAGTAAGGCCTTCGAGAAAATCGATTACAACATATTAATAAGAAAGTTATCACTGCTTGACATTCCTCCGAGTCTTTTAGCGTGGTTGGATTCCTACGTCAGTGACCTTTACCAGGCGATTCTTGTTGGCAATTGTGTGTCTACTTTTCAACGAGTCACTTCTGGGGTTCCCCAGAAAAGCCACCACGGCCCCATCCTTTTCTTGGCACACATTAATGATGTTCTGGCATGTTTCCAACACCCTAAATTTCTGCTTTATGCTGACAATAGCAAATGTTTTTTGGATTTATATTGGATAAATAAGTTTAGTGTATCGATAATCCACTCTACATTCTTGAAGTGCTTGTAAAACTGCCATCAACTCAATTTAAATTAAATTTTATAAATACCTCTAAATACCCATCTTGGGTAAATACTCCCAGGTATATATCCAGGGAATTTTCCCTTGAAAATAAATACCTGGGTATTTAACAACTCTTTATTGAAATTACACATTAAATTATTTAATCATAATTTGTAGTAGGCAACCCAAATAGCTCTTACACCGAATTTTTCCGTTAGATGTCGCTTATAAACGTCCATGTGTCTTAACCTCAAAATTATCCAAAGCTGTCAGAATTTGTTTATATTTTTCTGAAATAATGGGTAAATTGGATGTTTCTTTATTGCGATATCTAAATCGAGGTGATATACGTGTTTTAATAGCTGTAAGTATCTCAATTTACGTGAATATATACACAGATTTGTAGTAACCTAAATTTAATTTTACTTGGTTGTTTATCGAATAGATTGAGCAAGGAACAAAAAACCATGAATTAACTCCGACACAATTAGCAGCCTCAATAGCTAATTTACAACACGGTGGAGTCCATAAAGTCTTAAAAGAATTATGTAAAAGAAATTTGTTAAGTTACGAGAGAGGAAAAACTTGTAAGATTTAAAAACAAACATTATTACCTAATTTTTAATATTTGTTTTAATTTTAGATGATGGATATAGATTAACAAACGCAGGATATGATCATTTAGCATTACATGCTTTAACTAAAAAAGATGTAATTGCATCCTTTGGTTATCAAATTGGTGTAGGAAAAGAAAGTAATATCTATGTTGTTGCTGATCCAGAGGGTAATGAGTTCTGTTTAAAACTACACAGGTTACATATTAAATTATTATTTGAGGCTCTATTCAAAATTAAATTCTTTTAGGTTGGGAAGAACATGTTTTAGAAATATTAAATCAAAAAGGGATTACCATAAACATAGAAGAGCCCCCTCTTGGCTTTACTTATCTAAGATTTCAGCTGCTAAAGAATTTGCTTATATGAAGGCTTTACATGAAAGGGGATTTCCAATCCCTAAACCAATTGATTGTAATCGCCATTGTGTAGTTATGGAACTCATTGTAGGAACAACATTGTAACAAAACTAATACAAAGATAATAATTTACTTTATTAGTAATTCTTTATTTTTTTAGGATTAATGTTAGTGATATTGAAGATGTTCCAACTCTTTACGACGATCTTATGAATTTAATTGTCCGTTTTGCAGATGCTGGAGTAATTCACGGCGATTTTAATGAATTTAATATTATGTTAATGGAAGATGAAAAGCCTATAGTCATTGATTTTCCCCAAATGGTTTCTATAATGCACCCCAATGCAGAATAGTAAAACATTTTCATTTAATTAATATGCAATATTTTAACTTTTTAAATATTTTTAGCTTTTTTGAACGTGACGTAAATTGTATTCGAACATTCTTTAAAAAAAGATTTGGCTATGAAAGCGAATTATACCCAAAATTTAGTGACATTGAAAGAAGTGATGCTTTAGATGCTGAACTTAGGTGTTCTGGATTTACTAAAGCCATGGAAAAAGATATTAATCGAGAAATGGGTTTAATTGATGAAGATAGTGAAGGCGAAGAAGATGAAATTGAAGAAAAATCAGAGGATAATATTGATGTTACAATTGAAACAAAGAATTTAGAAGAAGAGAATGTAAAAGAAAACAGTGATAATGAAGAAAGCAGTTCAAATTTTGAATCTAAAGTATTGGATAAAAGCAATTTAGATAAAAACGTTTCTTCTAAAGCATTAGAAGATGATGAAAGATATTTATCAAGTGATGAATGTGAAAGTTCTGAAGATAAATTTGAAGCTGCAACTGCTAGATCTACCGTTTCAACTCTTTATATGGATGATATGTTGAAAAGAATGAAGAAACAGGCGAAAAGGAGAGTTACTAAAGAGGAACGAAAAAAATGTGTTGCTAAAGGGGAAGCTAGTGCTGTTACAAGAAGAAGAAGAGATGATTTACATACTATTAAAGATAGTCATGGGATATGGGGTTAATTTTTTAGATGGTTTAAAAAATATAATATTTTCAATTTAAGTATTAATTTAAGATGATTAACAAAATAAATAAATATTAGAAAAATAAGATTTTTTTTCTACTAATATCTATCATCAGTGAATTAGTAAAAGTGTTGAAGCTACTTTGTTTATACCTATAATGTTTTTGGGATATGTTTCATTTAACTCATAATCAGAAATTATTGTTTTTGTTCATTTAATAACATTTATTACAAATTCAATGAAGATCTACCAATGGGTTCTCCCTTGAGTGGCCTGCTCTCTGACATATTCTTAAATGAATTAGAAAATAAAATTTTAAATAATAATAACAGCAAAAATAGAACACTCTGGCGTAGATATGTTGATGACATCCTCGTTATTTGGGATAACAACAATAATGTAAACATGAAATTTACTTTAGAAACTGAAAATAACAATGAACCCAACTTTGTGAACTTAACTCTTACAAATAAGAAAAATAATATTGAACTAAAAATTTACAGAAAACCAACACAAACCGATGTATTATAACTCATACCACCATAAAAGTCATAAATTTTTAGCTTTCAGAGCTTACCCAGAAAGAATCCGGGTGACTACAGATAAACAAATCATCCGGATTCTTAACATGTTAATAATTTTATTAGTTCAAGTGAGTTTTTATAATGTTCCCTTTTAGTGCTTTTCCAACGATATTTTCTTATGTCAGAATTTTGTCAAAAATGTTTGCATTGCTGAATATGACTTTTTATTTTAATAAATATTGCCCAATTAATGTGATCATGAGTTCAAATTTCGATAGGTGTTAGAGATTTTATTGACCATAAGTTTAACTGTTTTAATTTTATTTATAAAAAATATTTTAGTGTGATTTTCAAATATGTAGATTCGGCTGATGATGGCTAATTATTAATAGCCAAAACCGGTACCGAGGAAATTTTATAATAAAGAGCATGAAAGAAGTTTTCGTTTTATTGAAATTTATTTCGATTATATCTTGCAACATGGATTTCACCAAAAATAAACACATTTTGTCTTTAGTTATTGTCAATCTAACGTTACTTTCGCTGGTGTAGTTGGGTGCTTTTATTTCATGTAAGCATGAATGAATACACAAATGCAGAAATGGCAGACATGCACTTTAAGTAGGGTGCTGCTAATGGTAACGCTTATGAGACATGTCGCCACTACTCGGAAACTTACCCCTTAAGTAATAAATTTTTCACAAAATTGCATCAACCTTTGTCGGAAGTAGGTTCTTTTAAAACAACTTATCATGATGCTGGTCGACCTCGATCTGTGAGTACTCCTAGTAGAAGAGGATGTTTTGAGAAAGGTTGACGAAAATCCAGGTACGAGTGCAAGAAGAATCTCTGGTGCAGTAAATATTAATGCCTCTCTAGTTTGCAGAGGAACCATGTTCAACGAGTGCAAGAACTTGTCGTCCCTGACTACGTTTCGAGAAGAGCATTTTGTGAAGTGATGTTGCAGAAGCTTGCACAAAATCCGATATTTCATGCTAGTGATTCACTGACGAAGCTGCTGTTACAAAAGCCGGAATTTTGAATTTTCATAACAATCGTGGTTACACCGGAAGTGGTGACAATTTTCATTCAAATATAGTCGTTGTAGAGGGTCTCGATGCTCGTTTTGCCTGCTGTGGTCAGTTTTTTGACCTATCTAGGGCTTTCGATACATTACAACACCAACTACTACAACAATTATACAATTATTACAGCAATTAAATCGTTATGGTGCTGCCTTGAGCAGAGGCCCTGCCTTGACCTGGATTCAAAGTTACCCGAGTGGCATATAACAACTAGTAAAGTGGTGACAAAACGATAGTACAATCAGTTTATTCCTTCTCCCAATAAGATATGGAGTCCCGCAAGGAAGCATATTGGGACCATTGCTGTTTATCTTGTACATAAATGACGTGCCATTTTCTTGTGAAAATTGTAGTAGTATTTGCTAATGATCGCTCTATTGCAATAAGGGCTGATTCAGTCCAGCAGTTGTCAATGAGGATCACTAGCGTAGCGAATGAAATGATAGATTGGTGCGAAGCCAATGGATTAATACTAAACTGTAACAAAACGCAACTAATACATTTTTCCGGCAAACTTAATAAACCAGATTTTAGTGTGTTGGGCAGATTTGAGGGGAAATCTATTGGATCTCTGGATAGTATTAAATTTTTCGGTATCCGATTGGACTTTAGCTGGAATGATCACATAAGAGTACAATCTAATAAACTATCTTCGTTTCCCTTCATTATTCTCCAAACTTCGGGGAGAGCGAAATTCTGAAATTGTCAAAACTGTATATTACGGTATAATTTACTTGTGTAAACCTTGTGTTGAGGCAACTTGTCAACTTCGCAGCGAACTTTTGTAGCGCAGAAAAAAGTCATTAGATCGATGTTCAACTTACCCTACAACAAATCATGTAGAGAAACATTTCGGAATAATATTGACTGCCTACTATTTCTGGCTAGTACTCATATATGTAAAAACACATTTCACATTTTATTAAGAGTACTGACGTAAACACCAGATACAACACCAGGCAAACCGGAAATTTGTATTTGCTTAAATGCCGGTTGTCTCTTGTCAACTTGATTTTAACCGGATCAAATATAGGTTAAAAACTCTCCGTGCGCTTAAATCCTTCGGTATTCCTTCGGTGGAGGAATATATTCGTTGCACACGCAATGGAACCGTGACACTGTCAAGGGTTTAGTGTGATTGTTTATGCGGTTTTGTTTATTGTATGTTTGAGATGCATTTGTGTTGTATATTATAAGATGACGTATATATATAATACCGACGGTTTCCTATTCTCTAAGTATATAATAAATGACAATTTCTGATGCTGTACAGCCTATGGAAATAATGTTATTTGATTTGACTTGATTTGTTTGCAATCTTCCAATGTGAGATCTAGTTGCTCTCCTAAGATACATTGTTTTGTTCAACACTATCTCGAGTTCCCATTTCTGATATTCTTCCATTTACACGTCATATAATTTATGTCATCGTACCATCTTGTGCTATGAGAGTATCTAGTCTTCTATTGGTAGTATTGAATCCTCTGCCAGCAGTACCTAATCTTTTGCCTGCAATGTTTAGTCGTCCTCGTGGCACTATTTTGTCACCTGCAAGCACTCTCTAATTTTCTATTGACAATTTCTTTTTCAGTTTTTAGTCCTCTACTACTAGTACCCAGTCTTTTGTCAGTACTACCTAATCTTCTGGATGCAGTATCTAGTCTTCTATTGGCAATATATGGTTTTCCATTATAAAAATCTATTCCTCCGCTAGTGTTGCCTAATTTTTTGATAATATTATCTAGTCTACTGACATCAATATATTTTGGCTTCTACAAGGAGTAAGTAGTCTTCTGTAAACAGTATTTGTACGTCTGTTAGTAAAATTATATAGTTTGAGGTGGTGTAATGTAAATTATGATTTATTAGTTGCTCTAAGAAAGATTTCGTATTTTATGTTTCCATTTTTAGTATTCAAATTACATTATTTCTGAATTATTTTTTCTTAATATATCAAAACTTCCTATTGGAATCATAACAATATAAGAAACAACCCCACACATAATTTAACAAGTAAATTGTGAATGTTATACAAGACTACCTTTTTTTTACAAGCGTTGGGTTGAATTGAACATTTATAGTGTCCGACGTTGAAATGCGGTGTTTCAGGCTACAGATTTGGACCTCGGATCCAAACCAGGAGATGAGAAAAGATGTCATTGCTATGGAAACACCCCAGCAACGTGTTCTATTGCAGATTTAAATGTCGGTTGGGGTTGCGAGGGGGAAAAACGACGAAAGTGAGAGGGCGGAAGTAAAACTGGGAAACGGTTTATCGGCGACCTTCTGCCTTTGTGCGGAAAAATTTTATCAAAACACGCCCGGCGTTGATTAATTAAATTTAACAAAAGTCGTAGTCGTAGCCGTCGCCGATGACGTCTTTCTCATCATTTCCTTTTGCTTGGGGCGAAATGAAACTTTGAGATTCGGATAGAGTCTTCATCGGTCTCCCATCAATTATTATAATTAATAACGACGGATACTGAAACTTGAAACGACACGACGGGTGCGCCGAGAAATGAACTTCTGTGATTCGCATTGATGATTTATGACTCGTTGTTACCGTTTTATAAATCGATTTATTCACAAGTTGATATTAATATATTGATAGGAGTTATGACGTGGATAACGAAATTGTTACTAGTTGTAAAATGCAACACTTTTGAAAACTTAGTTCGAAGAGAAATGTATCTAAATTATCGAAGATAACGGAATATTGAAGCGATATTTTATTCTTTGCCTCTAGCAGCAAATTTATAGAGTTTAACCGCACAGTGTAACAGCCCCAGGTAAACAACAGATTGTTTGGACATGAAAATAACTTTAGAGATTTATTGAAGTAAACTCTGGGCGACTATTAACTTTACATGTTTGGATTATGATAGACATTTCAACCGGGAAATTTGTAGAAATTGTGCGATGTTTGTAGCAATCTATCTTTGCAAAGGTCGTTTCATTGTACCGTTAAGTTGAATATGGATTTGCATATACTTAATTCGTATTTAATAAGAAATTTTAAAAAATATTTAAGAGTTGATTACTTTTAAAGCAATTTTTTTGTGCGAAAAGAAGTTTTGTTGGAGGGATTTGTTTGGAAATCATGGATTATCTGTCCAAGTTTTTGGGGCAATAACCTAAAACTAATCTATGTCAAGGGAGTGGTAAAAATAACGCCCGAAGCTACCTATGCGGAAGCAAACGGCAATATGAAATATGTGCAACGACGGCGAGCGATGTCAGTCGTAAAGCTTGATATACGATTTCGGGTAAACGCGTTGTAGGGACCTCCAAACCCGGAACGGGACCATTTTTATTCGAAACGCCGTTGGATGACGGTAATCTTTCAAAGGAGCACGTTCTCTAACAGCCTCCACTGTCACCTTTATGGCAAACGGGAAACATGGGGACAAACGGGGATTACCGTCTTCCGTCCAGTTTTAATGTGATTTACGCCCTTAATGGCTG